TGCCTTTCTTATGATGTCCTTTTATTTTCTGATAGTCTGACGAGTATTTTAGAAGCTTTATGCGTCCTGATCGTCCTTTCTTAAACAAAAACTTTATAACAAACTCGGTTCAAAATCCTTATCCCAAAAAAAAAAATAAACCAGACAAACTTAGTTGAACATGATATCAATTATACCCTTAGTTAAGAGTTGGAGACCATAAATATCTTGCTAAGTGGAATATACATTTTAGCCTCATTCTGTAGTTACTATACACTTGTATTATTGTTGTTTTTAGCTGCAATTTTTTTTGTACTTCCTTTGGTAATATTAATGTAAGTTCCTTATTTTTTTCTTGTTTGGTCAGTAAGTAAGTAAAGTCTTATAATTTGTCCCTTATTTGTTAGTGGACCGGTGCCTTGTACATTCTATAATCTAGACATTATAGAACTTCCTCTTGATACTTGTTGTACAGCTCTAAGTTCATAGGCTGCTTATTTACAGGAAGAACTACGCCCATACTTTTCATTGCCTAGGGTTATGGATGGTCTTTTCAGCCTTGTAAATATGCTGTTTGGTATCAATGTTGAGCCTGCTGATGGATTAGCTCCGGTAAGATTTTGTTCACTTGCCTTTTCTTTTACCTCTCTTCCTTCTCCTGTATGGAGTGGCAAATAATGTTGTTCATGAATGTGTATGTGATTTCTAGGTTTGGAACAACGATGTGCGGTTTTACCGCGTGAATGATTCCTCTGGAAGTCCCATTGCCTACTTTTATTTTGATCCATACTCTCGTCCGTCTGAGAAACGTGGAGGTGCATGGATGGATGAAGTTGTTAGCCGAAGCCGTGTATTATCACTAGATGGTGCCTCTACTAGATTGCCTGTTGCCCACATGGTTTGTAATCAAATGCCACCAGTTGGGGATAAACCCAGCCTAATGACATTCCGCGAGGTAAGCATGTATTTTGACTCTAAGTACCTTCAAGTCATGGTGTTCCGAAATGGTTGGACTAATAACTCAGTAAGGTATGGTGCTGCATTATATTGCATCAGCCTTGGCTAATTAGGCTTTGCATCATAGTGGGTGTTTCTAATAATTTTCTTTTGGGTGGTTTGTGGTGGTCTTGGAAGGAGGGACATGAGTAGGGGAGGAGAGGGAGGACTTTTGGTGTTGATTTTTCCAATCAACAAGTGCAAATAAACAAAATCGGGCTTTAAGCAAATGCGGGAGTGAAGAAGAGGACTCTCATATTGAAAGAAGAAAGAGTTATTGTCTGAAGAGTAGAAGGAAATGATTTCAGAAGGATATGCCAATGTATAATGTAGGTCTGGATGTTTCTGTGAGCAGTAAGGAACAATATCCCCTTAGTTTGGAAAAGCTAGTGGCGACAGGAAACATTAAGTGGAAAATAGATTGTTATTTCTTCTACTCTATGATGATGAGAAGATGTTTTAACTACTTTTTAGTTTTGGAAATTTCTTTTTTTAATGTAAACGATTTTATTAATGCTGGGGAAATCCCCCATGTACAAGTAGTATACAAATGGATAAAGAGGCCTAGGCTAAATTATGGTTCTCTAACTAGTCATCCAATCATCTATACAAACAGGAACCTCATGGGTACACCAAAAAGAAATTGGAAGCGCGAGGCTACCCTTCACACACAAAAAATACTTCTCAACTCTTCAAACATTCTCCTATTTCTCTCTTTCCATATTATCCGCATAAGAATTAGTAGGGCAACATCCCATGTCTCGGTCTTCTCTTTCTTCTTCTCAAAGCTCAGATTACGGTGCTTCTTTCTCTGTGCTTGGCATGACACACTGTATTCTGAACCAATTCAGAATCTCCCTCGCAAGCGCGTAGCTGCCTAACAATGTAGTAAGAGTTGACCCACATATTCTTCCAAACATCTCCACATATAGCACTTGCTGACATGAGTGATCCTCCTCTTGTTCAAGTTCTCGACTAACAATAAAATCTTTTGCGCTCTTGACTTCTTCGTTAGCTTGTTTATGAGATATTTTATGATGCTTCAAATCAGGGTTATATTTATAGGTTCACGAAAATTTATGGTAGTATAAGATCAAACACTTTTTTCAGCATCTAAGTTATCATTAGGTGTGGTTTTGGTGTTGATTACATGCCTGCTTTTGTAGGTTGAGACTGTCTTCCATGAATTTGGACACGCCCTTCAGCATATGCTCACTAAGCAGGATGAGGGTTTGGTTGCTGGTATAAGGGGCGTAGAATGGGATGCTGTGGAATTACCATCACAATTCATGGAAAATTGGTGCTATCACAGGTATAATGATGTCTTAGCAATGATACTTTAAACATTTGGTTTTGGTTGCATTACCAAGTTAGTTCGCCACTTTGGTTTTCAAAACCAAAGCGGAGGACAAAACATTTCTCTGAAGCTGTTTCCAAAGGACCCCTGTCTTTCAAGCTTTAAATCAACAAATTGCTCTGTTGTAAAAAGAGACATTTTTATACAAAGTATATTTTAGTTGGCACCTTTAATACCAGTTTTTTCATTTTGTTGTACTTGAGATCTTTCAATAAATGAAGTTGGGAGCAGGCAGAGATTCGGAACAGCTTGTTATATTGATTTTTCCTTCAGCGGGTTCTGTCTGTCTCCGGACAGAAGACGTTTTCTATTTGTTGTCCTCTCTTCTTTCTTTCTTTTTGATAAACAACTTATTTGTCAATCCTTTTTTCACTTTAGGAGTATGACTTGTTGATAATTCTACCAGACGCTTCGTATAATTGTTACGTGGATCTGATTAGTGCTTTCGCATGCCTCACTTTATGTTAACTTGTTAGTACTGACAACTGATGCTCCATAGTGTACTCGCTCAAGACATTGTATTTTTATGCAAATTGTATTAGTTAATCATTCTATATAAGTTGCTTGTCCTTGCCCGTTTCTAAAACCATATGTGACCGAAATTTTACTCTTTAATCATGAAATAATTTCTTCTTCTCACTCCTGCCCATAGATAACCTGTAACTTATCATCAACATGTAATTTTCATGGAACTAACTTAATTATGCCTATCCTGGCTTTGAATGCTATCTTTCTCTGAGTTTGTAGAATTTTAGTTTCAGCCTCAGATGTTGCATCATGCTGTAATATACAGCACCTCAAAAGGATATGAGTCTGCTAGAGTGGCGATATAGTTGAAGATATCCGTGTTTCTTTCCTTTGGATCAGTCATCTGTTGATTACTCATTTTCTTGATGGCTGTTGCAGGGATACTCTGATGGGCATTGCTAAGCATCATGAAACTGGAGAGTCTCTCCCAGAAGACATATACAAGAAGCTTCTTACTGCTAGGACTTTTCGTGCTGGTACCTTAAGCCTTCGGCAGGTGAGCGCTGCCCACTTTTCTCTTTTTCTGGGTTCGCTGTTACTTTTTCAAATAATAATCTCTTGATACATCTTTCTTTCCACCCTTTAGTATTAACCAACAAACCATATTCCAAATTCTTCATGTTTTGAGGTAGGAATCGTATTATTTTTTTCCCCTAAAACTCCTCGTGGGTTACATTAATCTCTCCAGAAAGTGCATTTGACATATACTGTTCTGCTGGTTCATTTCCAAGATTTTTCCAGTGTACCAAAGCTAAGATACATGTTGTTGGCCTTTCTCTGTGTACTTGGAAGTTGGATGGAGAGAGAAACAGGACCTGAACTCCAACTTTCTAAATCAGATCTTCAGGAATTGGAAACAACTCGTTTAACATATTCTAACTTGACATTTTGTGGGTTGTATGGTTATTCATGGTTTGTCTTCAGGTCTAGTTCAACAATCAAGTTGTGCCAATAGTAGGTTCTCCAAAAATATTCTGAAAAGTGTAATAGCCACTAAACGGATTTTTTCGGTCATACTAATTCATACAACAGTGGCTGTGTTTGCCCTAATGGTCTCTGTTGGATCGTTTCCTTTGCGTTATGTGATTTATTTCTAGACATCTAGATTGTCCAAGGGAGTAATTTGTTCCACGGATATTTTCTTCTATTTTCTAATCATTAATGACGTTAATGCCATGACTTGTGGTGCTGTGGAAATGCTTACCGGTGGCCATAAAACTGTTCTTGTAGTTGAGATTTGCAACTGTTGATCTTGAGTTACATGCAAAATATGTTCCGGGTGGCTCAGAATCAATCTATTGTGTTGACCGACGGGTCTCTAAGAGAACCCAAGTGCTTCCTCCACTCCCAGAGGATAAGTTCCTTTGCAGTTTCAGTCACGTTTTTGCGGGTGGATATGCTGCTGGATACTACAGTTACAAGGTGCTTCTCCTATCTTTTAGTGGTTCTTAGCTCCTATATTTTTCCAGTTACTTGTAGTTACTGTGAGTCTTATGTATAAATATTGTTGGATTAAAAGAGGGAGTTATGTCTTTTCAAATCTCTCTTTTCTATGAAAAATGATTTTTCGGGAAATGTGTTGCGATTTAAGACTTGCCTTTAACCACATCTAAGTGCAAAATTGTTTTGCAATTTTTGTAGTGGGCAGAGGTTTTGTCTGCAGACGCTTTCTCTGCATTCGAGGATGCTGGGCTAGAGAATGAGAAGGTAAAGTTTGAGAAAGTTTACTTTGATTCAGTATTCTTTAGTCTTATAGCTGTCATTTTATTGAATATCACAATTCAACTAATTAGTGGCTTTGACTTTGAGTAGGCTGTGAAAGAAACAGGCCACAGATTCAGGGAGACCGTTCTTGCTCTTGGAGGTGGAAAGGCTCCATTGGAGGTAGGGGTTAAACATGTCAATGTCTTCTTATGTTTGCTCATTCTTTTCTTATCTGATTTACACACTGCTAATAATTTGCCACGACTCTTAACGATTTTTAGATGCATATTCAGGTTTTCGTGCAATTTAGAGGTCGGGAACCTTCTCCAGAACCGCTGCTTAGGCATAACGGCCTACTCCCAGCTACTGCCTCTGCATGAGATCGTTTTAAAACCTTGTGCAATCTTAATGGCCACTAGAAGTATTTGCATGCTTTCACGCCATTGGATGTAACTGCATTTTTTTCAAGGCTTGATATATTATTTATTTCAGAACGAGCTTTGTTATTGAGAATCGGATAATATGGATTAGTAGCATCTGATTTACTGGTTATAAATGAATTTCTTGGTTCTTCCTCGTCTCTATTACTCTTCCCCTTTATACGATTTTGATCATTATGACAAATCGTAATGCATGTCGTGCCAGCGGATAGGCTTTGTTTGGTTAATCTTAACATGTAATCGGTAGATGTTGTTTACCTATTCTCCTCCAGGAAAAGGTTCGCCAAGTAATTTCAATGGAGTTCTGTTTTTTCAAAATCGCGTAAGCAGGAGTGGAATTGATTACTTTCCGAGCTAATGATTTGAACCAAATGCCCGGCTAATTCTGCAAAAGTCTTCTTACTGAGATTGAGAGTACATTTTAAGTGTCAAAGGTGTTTACCCTAAAAATCGAGTAACAATTAAACTTGTAATGTGGTTTTAAGGATACATGATTTCACCTAATACCAATAGATTAATTTAAGAGATAAGTGATGGAATTGACAAGAATGTAAAACAAACCAGTGCTTGGACAATGCCCTCGAACAGTTGGACCCTCGAGGGTTGCAAAATAAGAATAATTAAAGAAATAATAAGCTGATGAACAATAGAGAAATATTATATTGCCTTGATCTGTATGAATAGAACAGTTAAAGAATAATAAGCTGATGAACAATAGAGAAATATTATATTGCTTTGATCTGTATGAATGTAAGGTGTTTACAAATAATGGGGATCCCTCTTTATATACTAGAGGAATCCTAATTGTGGTACAATTCTAATTGCGGAAGTAAATCCCATGATTGATACAAATAACCGCCCTTAATTTGATCCATTCCGAGATTTCCGCCATGCCCCCCGACCGGTCACAGATATTTTGCCTTTCCGTTATTGCGTTCCGCTCGAAGTTGATCAACTCTGGTCTCGATCGTCGGGGACCTCGATCTCCGAACTCGGTACCTTGTCTTCGTGCTCAGGACTGGCCTATTACGAGGCTGACCCTCGATGCAGTTCACTGATCTTGAAATAATGGCAAAATCGGGCAAGCCCGATTTTACCCGTATACAGATAGTCCCCTCGTTTCTTGGAGTGTAATGAGAAGAAACGAACTGAGTCTTTGATTTTGCATATCGACCGAGTACGACGTCACCCCCGCGATAGAGGCGACTGAAGCGTTGCGTCTGCACAGTTCCCAAGACCATTAATTAGTGCTAGTTAATGGTCGGCCACTAGTGTTTTCCAACCGTCATAGCAATATTATAAATAGATCCTCTTTATAATTTTTTCAAATTTTACTTTAAAAATTTCCCCTAATCTTCAAAAACTCTTCTATTCCCTTCAAGCTTCTCAATTTCGCAGGTTCTTCAAATCCCATTTGCCAATCCTTTCTTAAAACAACAAGTTTCATCTTCTTCTTTCTTTGAACTCATATAACAATGGCGAAAATATTAAAAACCGTTCCCTAAAAGGAAAAAGCTTCTACATCGCAGCCGACCGACGATAAAACACCGGTGGCGCCACGCATTGAGGACTATGTTCCGGGGTCGTGCGATCTTTCCTCCGACTTCAAAGTCGAGAAACCCTCTTCGGCCCCTGGCCGATGTGAGCCTATGTCGAGATATATATGCTCGATAACTGAAGGCGATCTCGAGCGGGTGAAAAAAGATTGTCATTGGGAAAATAAAAAGGTGGTGGTTCCTAACCCTGAAGAGGACATCACCACCTATGTAGAAGGGTTCTTAAGTGTTTACACTTACCCCTTTACGCTGGGTCCCGTTGATCCGGTTATTCTCGACTTCTGTAGCCAGTACCGAATAACTCTTGGCCAGATCCACCCTTCCTTTTGGCGCATCGTTATCTTGCTCCGATCTTCGTGAGCAAGGTTGAAGGGATGCCATTTACCCTCGACCATCTCATTAGACTGTATAGCCCATGTCTCTATCGGGGCGGCTTAATAAGGCTCAATCGCCGAGCCAAAAAAGTGTTGTTCTCGAGTACAGAAGAGGACACGGATCGGGGCTGGATGGGTCGGTTTGTCCGAATAAAAACCTCCGATTTAATCCCGGCCGAGAAGATGCCGTTCCCCGAGGAATGGAACATGAAGCGTAAGTACAAATCCATCAACACCTTATGTTGATTGCTTTGTTTCTTTTATCTTCCTTTACCTGCATCTATTTTTACCCAAGTCTTTTCTTATGATGTAGCGGTCCCCTGAGTGCTCGGTGCAATCCTGAACCTCGAAAGTTGGGTTCGGAAGCTGACTTCAACTTCTACATATGCTGAGCGCTCGTGGCACGATTTAGCGAGGGGCTGGTGGGAGGCCAAGAATCATGGTAAGCTTACCTTATACGCTCAAAAGTTTGATGCTTTTTTCTGAAACGTTTCTTTCCATTTGTCCTTGATTCCCTTTTATGCATGTCTCGGGGATGTTGCCGAAATAAGGCCGGCCCCGCCTGGGAAAGAGGAGGCCCCGAAACCGGTTAAGGATAAGAAGAGGAAAAGGGTCTCGCCCTCCGGTACCCTAAAGCCTAAGAAGAACAAGGCTCGCAAGCCGAAGCAAGATGTCGCCACCCTGTCAGAAAATGTAGTCCATAAACTACGAGATGAAGAAGATGCTAACTGTGAGCTGGTGGCTCGAAAGAAGGGAAGCGTCGAAGCTTCAAAAGCAGTTGAGCCGGTGATAGTAGAGGAGGCTCATCCTCGGACCTCGGAGACCTCGGACCTCGGAAGATGGTTTGAGCAAAGTCCCCGAGTCATCGGGGGTTGAAGATGTCTTTCACCGTGATGAACAATCGGCGAGTATGCCTGTCCGCCGTAACGAACAATCGGCGATTGTGCCCGAAGGGTCCGATCTCGAGGCCCCCTGAAAAGGAGAGAGTGACCCAAGTGGCTTGCTTGGGGCAATTAATATTGATGATTCGTCGCCCGGCCCCACATTTTCTGAAGGGCAATTTCGGGAGACTCAATCTATAGAGACCCCCGATGTGGGGACGACCCACGAAGGGGATGACATATTTCATGGCTGCTTTACGGGGGTCGATGGTGTTTCTGACCTAGATGCATCAATAATTTTCGATGAGGCTCATCGACTCCTGAACTAGGTAGATCTCAGTCCCCGTTATTAGGTTTGCGTTTGCTTTTATTTCCTTTTGTCTGATTTCCTTCTTTTCTTCACAAGTTGTGATGCTCCGTCGGGAAGCATTTTCCAAATCTCGAGCTGAGCTGAACCGGTGTAAGGCCGATCTCAAAAGGCTCACGGAGGAGAGAGATGCCCTCAAACTCCTCTATGTGCAAAACGAAGAGGAGATTAGGGACCTTCGAGCTGAATTTGTAAGAGCTCATAAAGAGCAAACTGAAGTAGGTAACGTAAATGTTTAGGAGCTTGACATATCAATTTGATATTGGCGACTAACACTTAGATAATGCAGGTTCAGCAGAAGGCCGAAAAGATTGATCAGCTTCACGAGGAGGCTGAGGTGAAAGAGGCAGAGACTTTGGGGTGGAAGCAAAACATGTACCGCCTCTCTTCGGAGAACAATACAGCTCGAGCCCAGCTGTCTTCGATTGAATGTCAACTCTAAAGCGTGAAGGAGGAGATCTTGACCCGAGCCACAAAAATTGAAGAGCTCGAGACTCGGTTGGCCGCTGAGCTTGCAAAAGCCATGTATAAGGCGGAAAAAGTAAAGGCCGAGGCAGAGGCGGTCGTGGACGTCTATCGAGCCGATGCCGAAGCCGCTAACGTTCGAGCAAAGGAAATTTTCGATGCTGCTCAAGTTCGATTATCCCGCATTGCCAAGCATGCTAAATGCCAGTCTCGGAGAGTGACTCTCGAAAATATTCATGCTCGTGGCTTTGACCTCACGACCGATATCGAGAATGAGAAAGTGCTAGAGGTTGAAGCCGAAGCTTTGCTCTCTGATGATGATGACTCCGGGAGTGCGAGCGGATCCGAGAGCGGAGAAGATGAAGATGAAGCTCCCAGGGAAGATTAGGCACTTAAAATTTTTTTCCTTCTTTTTTGGATTTTTGTGTAAGACCCTGAGTGGTCTTTGTAAATACTTTTGCATATATGAAAGATCCTTTTTCTTTCCGATTTGCCTCTAATTTTGGTTTCATGAAAACTTTGTTTTGCTTTCGCCTTGTGATAATTCTGATATACTTTAGGTCTTGTGAGAAATTTGACTCACTTCGTTGCCTTGTAAAAATTTTCATTTTCGTTTGTTTGTAAATCCGAAACTTAAGCAATTTGATCAGAGCTGGCTAATATAGTCTCTATCATTGAGTGAGTATTTGCTCGAAATCGGAGTAGAAAAAAACCCTTAGGTTCCGTTTGAGTGAGGGCGGATCCTCGAACCCAAAAAATATAATGGCCCTTAGGCTCTTTGAATTGGTCCGATATGGCCTCAAAAGAGTGGCTTCTTCCCTTTTCGGCTTAAAAGATTAATCATATAAAAATTTATTATGCCTTAGCACGAGGTAGCTCTGTACCCATTAGAGTTATCAAAAACTTTGTTATGCCTTGCCATAAGTTTGTTCGAGAGTTCGAATAATTTTGTACCCCTTATGGTTTTCGAGGGTTGATATTATCTAAACCTTTTGTAATTTTGCCGAGGGTAGCCTTGTTTAACTATTTTTGTGAAAATATTTGAAGGCTTGTTTTATTACGGAATTCGTATGTCTCCGAACCGTGTTAGTTTGGTCGTAGCCTTTAACTTGATATTTGCCCATTGGGCTTGTTTATCGATTATACTTCAAACTTGTTCGAAGTATTAGTCCCAGAGTGGGGTGGCTGTGGCCCATAAAATTGAGGGTTGCCTTTTTAAGGTCTTAAGATTTCGAAGTTTAACAATTCGAGCGTGTCGATATTTGGACGACAGTCCCCGAGTACGGAGTTAATTGCTCGAGCTTTAGTTGTGATTGGCTCTTAAGCCGGTTTCCGTAAAATATCGTAAGTACGAAACTGTAAAATAGAAATTTCACTGAGGCATGGAAGATCTAATAAGGAAAAAGTACTTCTTTCAATAGATTATTTGTGCGTATATGTTTTGTCATTAGGGCTCGAGCAGTCTACACGGGCATGGTTCGTTTGACTGTTTGGCCCTCTACAAAATTTTCCTATCGAGACCCTATTGACATGAAACATCTTCCTTGAAAACATAACATCCGAGGGTGATGCTCCCTAGTATTCGAGGTTGATTGTAAAGAAGCTTCCGATACTGTTGAATTGTCCCCAGGTAGCACATAAAATTGTTGCCTCGTTAAAAACCACGCCGGAAAAACCCATTTGGGATAAAAATCGATCTAAGGGGAAAAAAGTGCAACGCGTGATTTAAAATCTAAGGTCTTCGTATTGAATAGCTTCTCAACGTCTTCGATTGAACACCTGCAATAAGTTAGTATCAAATACAAATGAAAAGGGAGAAAGTCATACCTTAGAAATAATATCATTTGAGGAGTGATATGTTCCAATTGTTTGGCAATTGTTCGCCCTCCATTGTGCCAAGTGTGTAAGATCCTTTTCCGATGACACCGAGGACCTGATATGGCCCTTTCCAATTTGGGCCGAGTTTCCCTTCATTTGGGTCTCGAGTATTGAGGGTGAATTTCCTCATAACTAAGTCCCATATTTTGAAGTATTGAAGGTTGGCCATTCGATTATAATATCTTTCGATTCGATGTTTCTGAGCGGCCATTCGAACGAGGGTGGCTTGCCGTTTTTCGTCTAAAAATTCAAGGCTTGTGCTCATAGCCTCGTGGTCTGATTCTTCTGTTGTGTATCGAAACCTGATGCTTGGTTCCCCAAATTCGACCGGGATCAGAGCTTCGGCGCCATATACTAAGGAGAACGGCATTGCCCTCGTACTGGATTTTGTTGTTATTCAATATGCCTAAAGGACTTTGGGAAAAATTTCTCTCCATTTCCCCTTAGCATCGTTCAACCTTTTCTTCAGGTTTTGAATGATGGTCTTGTTCATTGATTCGGCCTATCCGTTCCCACTAGGATGATATGGCATCGATAATATCCTTTTTATTTTATGATCTTCGAGGAACTTTGTTACATTGCTGCCGATAAATTATTTTCCATTGTCGCACACTATCTCGGCGGGTATCCCGAATCGGCATAAGATGTGATCCCAGATGAAGTCTATAACTTCTTTCTCTCTGACTTTTTCGAAAGCCTATGCTTCAACCCATTTAGAGAAATAGTCAGTCACCAATAAAATGAACTTAGCTTTTACTGGGCCCGATGGCAGAGGACCAACGATGTCCATCCCCCATTTCTTGAATGGCCACGGGGATAGGACTGAATGAAGTTGCTCTCCGTGTTGGTTTATCATCGGCGCATGCCTTTTGGCATTTGTCACATTTTCGGACGAACTCCTTAGTATCTTTTTCCATACCGTCTCAATAATATCCTGCTCTGATGACTTTATGAATCAGTGATTCGACGCCGGAATGGTTCACGCAAGTGCCCTCGTGAATTTCTCGAAGGATGTAGTCGGTGTTTCCCGGACCCAAGAATATTGCCAACGGCCCATCGAACATCCTTCTGTATAATTCTCCATCTTCGGCCAACGTAAATCGTGCAGCTTTCTTTCGAAGAGTCCTCGATTCCTTAGAGTCCGAGGTAAGTTTCCCATTCTTTAGATAATCGATATATTTGTTTCTCCAATCCCAAGTTAGGTTTGTGGAGTTTATTTTGGTGTGGCCTTCTTCGACCACCAATTTTGAAAGTTGTACGACAGTCCCCGAGCTAATTTCATCATCTTCGACTGTTGACCCTAAGTTTGCAAGGGTATCAGCCTCACCATTCTGTTCTCAAGGTACATAATGCAGGGTCCATTCTTTGAACTGGTGTAAGGTTACTTGCAATTTATCCAAGTACCTTTGCATTCGATCTTCTCGGACTTCGAAGGTTTTGTTGACCTGGTTAACCACGAGCTGGGAATCACACTTGGTCTCGACGACCTCAGCTCCCAAACTTTTAGCTAGCTCGAGACCTGCAATCATGGCCTCATACTCGGCCTCATTATTTGTCAACTTAGGGGTTTTGATAGATTGTCTAATCGTTATGCCTGTGGGTGAATTCAAAACGATACCTAGCCCGGACCCCTTCACATTCGAACCACCTTCTTTGAAAAGGGTCCATACCCCCAAGGATGTGCTAGATTTTAGCAATAGCTCCTTTTCAACCTCAGGCATGAGGGCTGGTGTGAAGTCGGCCACGAAGTCTAATAAGCTTTGAGACTTGATGGTCGTTCGGGGTTGATACTCGATATCGTACCCGCTGATTTCGACTGCCCATTTGGCCACTCGGCCCGAGAGCTCGGGCTTATGCAAAATGTTGTGAAGGGGATAAGTGTTTACAACACAAATTGGGTGACAGAGAAATTATGGTTTTAATTTCCTAGAGGCACTTATTAGAGCAAGCGATAATTTTTCTAAGTGTGGGTACCGGGTCTCTGCTTCACCTAAAGTTTGGCTAACATAGTAAACATAAAATTGCGTACCTTGTTATTCTCAAACTAAGACACCACTTACTGCGACCTCTGAGACAGCCAAATATAAGTAGAGTTGCTCGTCCGTTTACGGAGTATGAAGTAATGGTAGGCTCGAAAGTTACCGCTTTAATTCTTCCAATGCCTGTTGGCATTCCAGGGTCCAAGTAAACTTGTTCTTCTTTTTGAGAAATGAGAAGAACCTGTGGCTTCGATCAGAAGATCTCGAGATGAACCGGCCTAAAGCAGCTATCCGTCCTGTTAGCCTTTGTACGGCCTTAACGTTGTCCACGACTGTGATGCCTTTGATTGCCTTGATTTTATTGGGATTGATCTCGATTCCCCGATTTGATACCATGAAGCCGAGGAACTTGCCTGAACCGACCCTGAATGCATATTTCTCGGGGTTGAGCTTCATGTTGTACTGTATCAATGTGTCGAAAGTTTCCTGGAAATGTGTCAAATGGTCCTCTGTGCACAGAGAATTAACTATCATGTCATTAATATAAACCTCCATTGATTTACCTTTTTGTTCTTCGAACATATGGTTTACTAGGCGTTGATAAGTTGCACTGGCATTTTTTAGCCCACACGACATTACATTATAGCAATAAGTATCATACTTAGTGATAAATAAGGTCTTTTCCTGATCCTCCGGGTTCGTTTGTATTAGGTTATACTCGGAGTAGGCATTGAGAAAGCTGAGGATCTCGTGGCCGACCGTGGAATCGATCATGCGATCGATATTCGACAGTGGAAAAGAGTCCTAAGGGCATGCTTTGTTTAAGTCTTTGTAATCTACACACATTCTAAATTTATTCCCCTTATTGGGGACTACAACTATGTTTGATAACCACTCGGTGTATTTTACTTCCCGGATGGACCCTATTTTGAGAAGTTTGGTTACCTCATGTTTGATGATTGCGTGCTTTACCTCGGACTGTGGCCTTCTTTTTTGCTTTATCGGTCTGAACTTCGGGTCCAAACTCAATCGATGAGTGGTGATCTCTGGTGGATACCTGTCATGTCAAGGTGGGACCAAGCAAAACAATCCATATTTTTATAAGGAATTTAATGAGTTTTTCCCCGAGCTTGGGAGTTAACCCCGTGCCCAGGTATACCTTTCGATCGGGTAGATGCTTGATCAGTATGACTTGATCCATCTCTTAGACCGTTGACTTCGTGGCATCGGAATCATCGGGGATTACGAAGGTTCGAGGTATAATACAATCATCATCCTCGAGAGTGTCCTGTTGTTCTGATCTGGTTGAAGCTGGCGACTGTGGTTGCTATTTGACTCCCTATTTTTCCTTCGATTCTGATCCCTTGGTTGATGTTAGTGTCGATACTGGTATTACTTCATCAATTTCAAACATCTCTTTGGCTATTGGTTGTTCGCCGTACACCGTTTTGACTCCTTGCGATGTTGGGAATTTCAAGCTTGATGGAGCGTTGAAGGTACTGCCCTCATATTATGGATCCAAGATCTTCCAATCAGTGAATTGTACCTCATATCTCCTTCGATCACGTGGAACTTCATTTCCTGGATAGTTTCGACCACGTTCACTGGCAATATGATTTCCCCTTTGTTGGTTTCACTCGCCATGTTGAAACCATTGAGCACTCGAGCTGCAGGCATGATCTGATCCTGAAGGCCGAGTTGCTCTACAACCCTTGATCGAATAATATTTTCCAAGATACCTGGATCAACCAACACACGATTAACTTGAATTTTATTCATAAGGATAGATGTTACCAGTGCGTCGTTGTGAGGTTGTTCGATCCCTTTTGCATCCTCATCATTGAAGGATAATGTATCTTCTGGTAAGTAGTCTCGGGTACACTTCTCCATTGTGATTGTGACTTTGGTGTGTTTAAATGTCAAACCCTGAGGGATATCGACCCCGCCGACGATCATATGAATCACGCAATGCAGTTCTTCCTATTTCTTTTTCCTATTTGCATCCTTGTCTCTGAAGTGATTTTTTGTCCCTGTTTGCTACCTCTTCCCTTAATTGTCTGCAATCTCCGGTTCTGTGACCATGAGTTCCATGGTACTTGCACATTTGATTTAGATTCCTTTGAGCTGGATCGGTTTGCAGGGGTCTGGGCCATCTAGTATCCTTGATTCACCCAATGGCTGACACAATACCTGAAGCATCGATGCTGAAGTTGTATTCCGATAACCATGGTGATTCCTTGGGCTCGACGTGTTTATCGAAGCCATTTTTACTCATGAGCCCTCGAGAATTTTGACCTCGATCATTCCTTCGATCATTTCAAACAGGATTATGTATTGGTCTGTTGTTCCTCCGATCTGCGTTATATGGTTGGTATCGATCCCTGTTCGACCGGGGCTCTCTATCGATGTCCCTTTGGATCCTGCCTTCGGACCTGTTTAGGTAAATGGAACCGGACGGAGCTCCCAACTAGTCATCCTCGACTCTGATCTTCGATTGGTACCGATTATGCACATCGGCCCAGGTCACCGCTGGATACTCAATCAAATTTTACTTTAGTTGATATGATGCCATCGAACTTCGCTCGTTAAAATCCTGAGTAAAGGCTTGGACAGGCCGATCATTGGTAATCAGGGGTAGATCCATGTGTTCCATCTGAAGTCGAGATACGAACTCCCTTAGCATTTCATTGTCCTTCTGTCTCACTTTGAAGAGGTCCGATTTCCTGGTTGCGACCTTTATTGCTCCGGCGTGCTCCTTTACAAACGAATCAGCGAGCATGGCAAAAGAATCGATAGAATTGGGCGGCAAATTGTGGTACCACATCATTTCCCCCCTTTGATAAAGTTTCCCTGAATTTTTACAACAAAATGGATTCAATCTCATCATCTTCTAAGTCATTTCCCTTTATTCCTCATGTGTACGAAGTGATGTGTTCATTAGGATCGGTGGTCCCGTTATACTTGGGGATGTCTGGAATACAAAACTTCTTAGGAATGGGCTTCGGAGCCACACTTTGAGGAAAAGGCTTCTGCACAAATTTCTTCAAATCCAATCCTTTTAGGATCGGGGGTGCCCCTGGTATTTGGTCAACTCATGAGTTGTATGTTTCTACCTTTTTGTCATTAGCCTCAATTTTTTCCACCTGATTCTATCCATTTAGTGAGATCCTCAAGCATTTTTATGATGGCGGGATCAGTTCCTGATCCATTATCATTCAATTTTTCCTGCACGGGTTCGACCCTATGAGCAACTTCCTGTGATGTATCGAGTTCGATTCTGCTTGGGGCTCGATTCTGATTTTGGAGTTGCGCTATCGCGACCTACCGAGTTTGTAGCATGTCAAATATTATTTGAAGTCTAACTCCGCCTTCTTCACCATTTTGTGTGGTCCGATCGGTAGCTCAGGCATCTTTGCGGACGCTATTTTCAGGGTTAGCGCCTAAATCTCCACGAATGGCGACATGAGAATTGACATTAACCAGATCCACGGCCTGTGGTACGTCGGAATTGATTGGAGGTACTTCATTTTCCGGGGCAACTACGTGCTCATTTTTGCCATGAAGACCAAGGCTGGTGTCAGTGTGAGTGGGTACTGCTTGAGAGTTTGACATGTTGATTCCTGAAATAAAAAATACTCACAAGAACAAGTGTAAAAGTAATGTGTGTTATGAAGGTTAAAATATTAAGCAATCAATATTATCCTTAGCCCCATGGTAGGCGCCAAACTGTTTACCCTAAAAATCGAGCAACAATTAAACTTGTAATGTGGTTTTAAGGATACGTGATTTCACTTAATACCAATTGATTAATTTAGAGATAAATGATGGAATTGATAAGAATGTAAAACAAACCAGTGCTTGGAAAATTCCCTTGAGCAGTTGGACCCTCGAGGGTTGCAAAATAGGAACAATTAAAGAATAATAAGCCGATGAACAATAGAGAAATATTATATTGTCTTGATCTGTATAAATGTAAGGTGTGTACAAATGATGGGGCCCCTCTTTATATACTAGAGGAATCCTAATTGTGGTACAATTCTAATTGCGGAAGTAAATCCCATGATTGATACAAATAACCGCCCTTAATTTGATCCATTCCGAGATTTCCGCCATGCCCCCCGACCGGTCACAGATATTTTGCCTTTCCGTTATTGCGTTCCGCTCGAAGTTGATCAACTCTGGTCTCGATCGTCGGGGACCTCGATCTCTTTTGGTACGTAGATCTCCGAACTCGGTACCTTGTCTTCGTGCTCAGGCCTAGCCTATTACGAGGCTGTCCCTCAATGCAGTTCTCTGATCTCGAAATAATGGCAAAATCGGGCAAGCTCGATTTTACCCATATACAAAAGGTTATGCAAGACGCAAGTCTTGGTAAATTATCCAACCTGCATAGAAAGTGGGTTAAGATCTGTTTACATTCTATCCTTCTTACCCATTATACTAGTTACGTTATTTTAGAACCTATGTATGTTTTACCTTTTATCGCTCTTTAAGTTACGTGATTATGGAATTATCTTCAAACGAGTCACATGTACGTGTACTCATTTTGTTTGGTATGTCAAAGCCGTGTCACGCGTACGTGTACACAACTAATAACAATTTATTATTATTTTGCCCAAAGTTGCGCGAACGTATACTTCGATTTTAATTTAAAAATCACAATTATGTCATGCGAACGTATACATAATCACAATAGATTAACTAAAAGCGTACCTAAAGCACTCTAACAGTGTTTATTATTTGTTCAACTCCGAAGTTTAAGATTATTTCAAGACCTTGAGTTATAGAAAGCTGGGCTAGCTTATGATTTGTGGGCTAGCTCTTTGGCTCAAATCCTTTTATCATTTTGTAGCCACACAACCCAAAGCCATTCACCTAGTTGAGAATTAATTCCAACAAACCTATTACTAAATTGACTTAGGCCCAAAAATAATTTAATATCTCGGAGAAAATGATTTTTTAAGATAATAAAATAATTTCACACAAGATTTGAGCTTAACTAACAAAATACCCCTTTTAAACTAAACTAAAGAAATCAAAATTGAATTTAGCATTAAAAAGAGACTAGAAAGTATTCATGAAATTCTGGAACTCATACTACCACATATAAAAACAAATATTCAACTAGATGCAAAAATTTTATAATAACAAGAAAGGACAAAGAAGAAAAAAAATAAGAAAAGCTGAAAGCAAAATAAAATAAGTAATACCATTTGTCCATCTAGACTTGTGAAGCTCGAGCAACTTTAGATATTCAAACATCTAGAGATTGACTCTTAAATACAAACCCGAAAACTTAGCACATCTTCAACGAATTTCTCATAGGAATAAATTATATTAAAAATACAACAATGCATGAATAGGAACGAAAAGCTAGAATTATTACTACAACTTCAAAGCTTTACAATCACAAGATAAGCTAAACTAGTATGCTTACATAAAGAGATAACTGATTTGACATGGTAAAATAATATAATCAAGAGGTGCTAAAAATAATAAATAAACTCATAACTTCATGTCTTTAGCATTTGAGAACACATTTTAGCATCACATGGTAAAGAAAAGTACCTAGTTGCAGAAAAATCAACAATGAAGAAATCTGTCGTTCTATTAAACAATCGATTGCAGCAAGGATTAACAGCAAATGCAACAACACTTTGTGCGATAGCCAGCAAAATGAACCCGAAAATCTAAACCCAGAACTCGAAATATTTGAGGTTGAATTCCAAAAAAAGGAACTACTTTTTCTCTTGACTTTTGCTTAAAGAAAACTGTTGAACAATGTTTTTCGAAAAGCCTTTTGCTAATGTTTCGGCTGCTTTTTTTTTTCTTCTAATGTTGTGGGGCTGATTTTTGTTGGAGATGGAGAGTGAGTGCCATTTCTTCAAGAGGTTGGGGAGGGGGAGGGGGTCTGATCTTTTTTTTTTTTTTTTTTTTTTTTTTTTTTTTGAGAATGAAAGATGGGGCTAGGTTTTAAGAGAGGATTGGGCCAGGCGGGTCGGTTGGGAAGATGGGTTGGGGCGGATTAATGGGCAATTTGGGCCAACTGGAATTGACTTTGACCCAAAAAATAAGAATAAACAAAACATTTTCTTTCCTTTCTTTTCATTTAACTTTTAGCCATTAAGTGAACTCCTAATTACTCCTTGTGATGACCCAAAAGGTCATCACTTGTTATAGAAATAAATATTGTATTCCAAGGCCTTAAAACCTCCTTTTTACCTTACCTCGATTTACGTGTGTGGTCCGTACCTATATCCGAAAAGCCGTTTATGTGAAAATATGAGAAATAGAAATTTCTAGAGTAAAAATTTGATTATGGTTGACTTTGGTCAACATTTTGAGCAAACGGACCCGGATCCGTGTTCCGATGATCCCGGGAGGTCCGCGGTAAAATATGGGACTTGGGTGTATGTCCGAAAATGAATTCCAAGGTCCCAAGCCTTAGAATTAATTTTTGAAAAAAATTATTTTGCTGAATTATCTATGAAATAAAGAAAAGAATTAATGTTTGAAACCATTGATATTGGGCCCGTATTTTGGTTTTTGGAGCTTAGTACAAACTTGTATAGTATTTAAATGATAACTGTGAAATTTGGTGAAAACGGAGTTTATTTGACGTGATTTGGACTTCCGGTTGAGGAGTTATGAACTTTAAGTGTTCTTGATGAAAATGCTGAGTTTTGAGGTTTAATTCATGGATTTACATGTTATTTTCATGATTCGATTGCACGAGCAAGTCCGTATAATATTTCTAGGTTGGTGTGCATGTTTGGTTTGGAGCCCCGAGGGATCGGGTGAGTTTTGGATAGGCCACAGAGTGGAATTTAACTTAGGGAGTTGCAGGTTTTTAGTCGGTATGTTGCAGGTCTACAGGCTTCGCAAATGCGAGCCACAAATGCAAAAGTCTATCGCAAATGCGAAGGGACCTAGTATGCTTGGGGTTGCAAATGCGACGTAGTCATCACAAAAGAGATGTCGTAAATGCGAAGGGCCCATCACATTTGCGAAGTGGTTTGGAATCCCCATTGGTCGCAAATGCGACAATCCTATCACAAAAGCGACTTCACAATTGCGATCCTTAGTCGCAAATGCGACAATAGCAGATTTCTAAAGGGTTCGCAATTGCGAATCCTGGTCGCAATTGCGAACTCTGGTCACATCTGCGACATCTGCGATCTGCAAATTCATAACTTAGACGCATTTCAACCATTTTTCAAACCCTTTCAAAACCAAAACACTCTTGGGCAATTTTTCAAAGACAAATACTCTTCCAAATCGATTGTAAGTCATTTCTAACTTATTTTTATTAATATTTAACATCTTTTCTCATGATTTCAACTCAAAATCAAAGGTTTTCATGGGGGAAATAGGGTGTTTTGGGTAGAACCTAGGTTTTTCAAATTTTGGGGATTTGGACCTTGATTTGAGGTCCGATTTCAAAACAAATCATATATTTGGGTTTGTGGGGGAATGGGTAATCGGGTTTTGGTTCGAACCTCGGGTTTTGACCATGTGGGCCCGGGGCGATTTTTGGCTTTTTGGGGAAAACATTAGAAAACTTATTTTCATGCATTAGAAATGATTCAATTAGCATTTATTGATGTAATTAAGTAACTTATGGCTAGATACGAGCGAATTGGTAGTGGAATCAAGAGGTAAAGCGATAGTTGAGACTTGAATTATGTTCGTGGCTTCGAGGTAAGTGTTTGGTCTAACCTTAGCTTGAGGGAGTAGGAGTTGTGTCCTATTTGCTATGTGTTATTTGTTGAGTACGACGTATAGGCATGGTGACGAGTATCTATACGTTGGTGTCAAGCATGCCCGTGAGTCTTATACTATGATTAATGTGACTCCGCTTATATTGTTCATGCCTTATGTGAGGATTTCTATTGTTGAGCAAGGCGGAAGTAATATTGGTATTTGAATATTGAAGAGCGTTGGCTCAAGTTGTAAAATGAATTGTGGAAGTATAATTGGCAATTGAACCTTATAGAGCATTGGCTCAAGTTGTGAAGTGAGTTGTGAAGTAAATGTGAAAAGGAAAAGAAAAGAGGATTATTATATTGTTCCCTTGCCGGAATTTTATTGTGATTCCATTTATTTCCTTGTCCTTATTTCTTGTGATTATTGTTTGGGTGAGGAAGAGTGTTAAAACACGAAGGGTGGTGCCATTCACTTGTCCTTGATTTTCCTGAATTTTGCTGATAATTGAGTTATGTTGTCCTTTATGTTTATTTACTGATTTTCTGTTGTTACTTGATTTTATTATGATGTTATTGATTCCCTTCCCGGGATATTGTTGTTCCCTTGTCGGGGCTCTTTTGCGATTGGTGTTGAATAATATATTTGGATCAGGTTGCACGCCGCAATAATATTATTTTTGGATCGGGTTGCACGCCGCAACAATAACATAGTTGGATCGGGTTGCACACCGCAACAATATTATATCTGGATTGGGTTGCACGCCGCAACAGTACTATATTTGGATCAGGTTGCACGCCGCAACAATATATGATTTGGATCGGGTTGCACACCACAACAGTGATGCATGATATCGATCTGGTTGCACGCCGCAACAGTGTTTTATGATTTGGACCGGGTTGCACACCGCAACAATAAAGGACAAAAGTGGATATTGATTTGTTACTGTTTCCTTATTCTTTTTGCTGCAAATTTTAAATTGCTCTTTATACTTTTCTCCTTAGTTACTATTGGTAAATGATATTCCCCCACAACATATCCCCTCCCCATCTTTAACTGCTAGTTTTCTTTATTATTAATGCTATATATATGCTTTAACTACACATGTTTAGTTGGTAGTCTTGTCCTAGCCTCGTCACTACTTCGCCGAGGTTAGGCTCGACACTTACCAATACATGGGATCGGTTGTGCTAATACTACATTCTGCACTGTGAGCAGATCCCGGTACTTAGAGCATGCGGACCGTAGCTTTGGGGTTGCTGTCTCCAGTCCATTCAGAGATCCAAGGTAGTCCTGCAGGCGTCTGCAGGCCCTGGCGTCTCCCTCTATCCTTTCTTCCTGTTTCATTTATGTACTCCTGAAATAGTGTTGCATTTATTTTTCGGACCTTGTTTGTAGTATTCCTAGACCGTTTGTAAAGTGGTGACACCAGTTCTAGGTAGTTTTTTTTTGTTTATGAAATCGTATTGGAATTATTTAAATGGTTTAATTGTTTCTTCTGTTTGTTTAATTTCCGCTGTTTATAAACTGTTGATTCACATTTGCTAAAGAACTAAAATAGGAAAAAGGTAAATGGTTCAACAGTTAGCTTGCCTAGCTTTCACTAGTAGGCGCTATCACGACTCCCGAAGGTGGGAAATCCGGGTCGTGACAAGTTGGTATCAGAGCTCTAGGTTACACAGGTCTCACAATTTGCAGATAAGCTTAGTAGAGTCTGTGGGATCGGTACAGAGACGTCTATATTTATCCCCCAGAGGTTACAGAGTTAGGAAACACTTCACATCTATTCTTTCATGTCGTGTGATTTTGTTCTCTCAATGCTAAATTGAAACCTCTACTCTTGTCCTTTCGTGAATGGCGAGGTCACGTACTGCTTCTTCAACTGAACATCAACACAGACCGGTGATAGATCAGCTACATCTTCGGAGGCTTTGCGGAGGTTGGATAGGTTTTACCAAGATCTTCACTACCACTTTCAACAGTGCATCTTTTGAGGATTCCCAGGATTATTAAGAAGGTTGTCATGAGGTTCTCAGGAACATGGGGATAGTGGAGACCAATGGGGTCGACTTTGCTACTTTTCGCTTGTCTGGATCCGCCAAGACTTGGTGGAGAGATTATTGTTTGGCCAGACCAGTTGGGTCACCAGCTTGGACTTGGGATCAGTTTTCTCAGCTATTTCTGAAGAAGTTTCTTCCTATCACTCAGAAGGAGAACTATCGGAGGCAGTTTGAGCGTCTCTAGTAGGGTTCTATGACTGTTACTCAGTACGAGAACATGTTTATTGATTTGGCCCGTCATGCTCTTCTTATACTTCCCACTGAGAGAGAGAAAGAGAGAAGGTTCATTGAGGGACTCGTTCAGCCCGCTCAGCCAGCTAGAGATGGAGGTACAGGTGTTAGAGGTGGAGGTCAGGCTGCTAAAGGTGGAGGTCAGGCTGCAGCAGACCATCCCAGAGATGTAGTTCAGAGTGGTGGGGCCAGCCTCGATGTTATTCTCTTCCAGCCAGGCCTGAGGCTGAGACTTCTGATGTAATTATCACGGGTACTGTTCTGGTTTGTAGTAGAGATGCTTCAGTCCTATTTGATCCAGGATCTACGTACTCCTATGTGTTATCTTATTTTGCACCGTATCTAGTCATGCCTAGTAATTCATTGAGTGTTCCTATATATGTGTCTACACCGGTGGGTGATTCTATTGTGGTAGATCATGTCAATAGTTCATGTATAGTTGTGATTGGGGGGTCTTGAGACCCGAGTAGATTTGTTTCTTCTGGACATGGTTGATTTTGATGTCATATTGGGGATGGACTGGTTATCATCTTACCGCGCTATCTTGGACTGTCATGCCAAGACTGTGACCTTAGCCTTGCCGGGTTTACCTCGTTTAGAGTGGAGAGGGACTCCTGATCATTCTACCTGTAATGTTATTTCATACATGAAGGCACGGTGTATGGTCGAGAAGGGGTGTTTGGATTATTTGGCATATGTTCGTGATTCTAGTGCCGAGGTTCCTTCTATTTATTTTGTGCCAGTTGTTCTGAGTTTCCTGAGGTATTTCCTTTAGACCTGCTAGGTATGCCACCCGACAGGGATATTGACTTCTGCATTCATTTGGATCCGTGCACTCAGCCTATTTCTATTCCGCCGCATCGTATGGCCCTGCTTGAGACGAAGGAGTTGAAGGAGCAGTTGCAAGATTTGCTT